CCCGCCTCTAGAGTTTTGTGATGAAGGTAAATTGCGGGATGTATTCTAGCAGGTCAGAGAACAAGAACTACCTGTACACTAGAATTTTACTAGTATATACTTGGGTCAAGTGGATGGAGGCTGAGTTTGGAGCTCAACCATAGTCAATAAGCTCAATTGTGCCTTGGTCGAGCCAAATGGATACTTTGGCCCTTTGATATGATGGGAGATATTGAGGTCTCGACTGTTTATTTGTGGTCTATGTTTGCGATCGTCGGGTGCTTCGAACATAAGACACTATTGCATGAAGTGAGAAAAAATAATACTTGAAATATAAGACTATATCATATCAAATGCGAGTGGGGCTCAACCTAACTTGTGGTTTGGTGTCGGCATGTGTGGGTTACTTTTAGCATAAATATTGTTTCAAATATTGGTTATATTCACATCACATTTTCTTAAAAATGCACCATATTTTAATTACATTAAATGCTAAAATTAGGATTAATTAGATCAAGTATAAAGATGAATAAATGATATATACCTACCAATCAAAAACTAATAAAATACCTCCATTATTCAATTTTTTTTCTTTTNTTCATAAATTGCCATATTTGTAATGTCAGAAAAAGGATGACATTTGTGTAACTAAAAATCAAGATTTTGACATGTGGTGTAATATCCACTTAATTATATATACTTTTATTTTTTTATTTCTATGATAGAAATGAAATTGTCCCCAAAGTAACTCAACCCTCTCACTGTCTGACTGTCATGCCCTCGAAATTGTAATAAATTTATGGTATTAAGTCTGACTGACGAGATATTTGGTCAAGACTTTTCTTTGTCGGCTAAGGTTAGCCAAACTTTGTCTAGCTTTCTATGAACATCATGTGCTGCCGCCGCCCGATAGTTTGGAGCCTTGTGCGTTACCTTTCCGCTTGAGTATATGTTAACTTGGTTTAAACCATAATTCATTGAATTAGATGGTCTAAATTATTAAATTAATTTAAAGGATAGGTCAAACCAAATTAATCCACAGGTGGACCCATCCAAATTAACGGTCACTAAGAATTTTCAAAATTACATTCTATATACACTCAATTAATAACAAACTTTTGACTAAGAGACAAACAAATATGGTAACTCAACGGATCAGTGCAGTTAAGTCAGCACCATCACATGCATCAACAAATCCAGTCTTTCTATTCTAAAATTCAAGTTTTAACATATAAAAATACGAATTACTAATTCATTCTATTAAAGATTCGCAAGACTATGAACACGGCACCAAAATCAAAATGTCGACAATGAAAATTAGAACTCAAACATAATAATGTCTTGATGCACAATTCTAGGACAAAAGGGGTCGGTCCAACAAATTACGTGACCAGATAAATTGGCATGGCTGAGGTTGAAATCCTATGGCGGTGTTCCATGTTAAGCTCCCTGAGGCTAAGGTAAGGAATCTCCACCTCATCTTTACTCAAACTCTCGGCGAGTGGACCCGAGGACGGTCGGTTTGTGGTGATCCGGTAAGGCGTGGAAGATCCACTTCTGCTCTCAGTAATGTACACAGGACCAGATATTGATCCTATGCGGTGGTGATTAATATTATTGCAACTGCCAGAGGCGGTGGTAGCTCCGCCGCTACGTGGAGCCCATTTGTTCCACTTGAAAAAGAGCAAGGCGTTCCTCCACCACCGCATTTTGCTCTTCTTGATCTTCTTTTTGGAATGTTCATCAGTTGATATTGGTTTTTGAAGCTTAAAGTGCAGCGTGTCTATGGATGTTAAGCTCTCCTTGTAATTCTTGGCTTCTTCCAAAACCTAGTCGAAGAAGACAGTGTTAAGGGGGGGAAAAAACACTAAAATCTTGTCTAGTTTCGACTAGTAGTACCTGAAAATGGTCTACTTGAGGGTCAAAGCCGTAGTCAGTAAAGTGTTGAGGTTCTGGTATCGGAAAAATGGGAGCTTTGTTTGACATTATATGATTCTCTTCTCTGCTTCTGAAGCTTTTTCTATGCTCTTGTTTTGCTTTATAATGACTGCTTTCAGTTGGTAGTGGGTGGCGGGGTATGTGAACGAAAGTTTGTGGGCTCGAGGTGGAGGGAATGCCCGTTGGGTTTTGTGAACCACTAGCAAATGCGCTTGCATCTTTTATTGGACAGCACATAATCGCTTGTATCATCAATAAATGTTTATACAAAACGATAAATATTTATAGATTCCAAGCGACTATGCCAATGGCGATGCACCCATGTTTACAGATGAATTTGGATGGTTAAATTGGACTAGTGTCACCATTGGAAGGAGCACGTGGAATTCATCTGTCATATTTGGCGGC